AGCTCTAATGAAACCTTCTATACAGCTTTTTTATTTCATTATGATTAGTTTTTGTTTTTGTAAAAAGAACTCTAAACTGTATAAATAATGTAAAATTAAATTGAATTTATTAGTCAATCAGACGAACTTCTGTCTATGAGTTACAAATAGATTCATAATTCAAATAGATTTTCAAACTTACACAAGGAAGGCAAGATAAATTAATTATTTCACGAAATATTATAAAAGTATCATAATTCTAATTTTTATTTGCTTTTTTTGGATACTTCTTTTTGTTTTTTCTTTTATCGCATCATCACGAAATAACACTCCGGAGCATTATTTCGAGATATAAATATTTGACCAACTTACCGTATTTTTGCGTAATAACACGCAGGGGTGTAATTTCAAATTTTGGTCTAAATTAAGCTTAATTCAGGCCAAAATTCGAAATAACGCTCATGGGCGTTATTACGCGAAAATACGGTATTAACTTTCATTAGATTGTCTTGAAATAATGTCCTGGTGCATTATTTTGTGACGGTACTGGTATGTATTTTAACCCTTTCTTGTTTGATTTTTTTTTTGTTCATTCCATTAATTCCTTCTTTCAATCCTTTGTTTTATTTACCTGATTCTTTCTACTATTCTTAAAGTAGCATCTTCCTTCTTTTTGCTTTTTCTTCATTTCGTCTTTTCATCTTTTGTTCATTATTTCTTTCCTTTTTTGCTCATTTATTCCTTTTTCTTGTTCTTATTTGTTGTTTCATTTTTATTGCTTTGAGTTTAGCTAAAGGTTCGTGTCACAAATACTGTGGATAAGATGTAAATGTTAATGTAAATTTTAAACGAATACTAACTTGAGAAAAGTTTAAGAACAAAAATTGTATAAAAATACTTGAGTTTTATTATCAATAAAATTGTTAAAATTCCTTATAAAAATCATTTTTACTTAATCACTTAAATTTTGCTTATTCATACAAAAATCGGATCCAATTAAATTATATACTTTTAATTTAAAAAATGGAAGCTACTGCATCAACAAGCCATCAATCTTCAGAAACTGCATTGGCACTTAGTATGTATACAATAACCACAATTGTACCTCATACGAGATAAGCTCTATCTTGCGTGATTTTGTGCAAGTCATACTGTACAAGTCACTCGTTATAATAAACACTTGACCTCAATATAGTGAAGTTAAACTCATCAATCTATATAAAGTTCTCTTGTAGTGAATTACTTCACTATAGCGAGTTTGACTTGTAATAAAATTAAAATTATTTAGTCCGCACAAATCATGCAAAATCGAAAATACAGTCAACACTTTCTACCGTATATTTCCGAAAATAAGCTACTCCGAAAATAAGCTACTCCTTGGTTTTAAGCAAAAAACCTAAAAACCTCTAATATCTGAAAATAAGCTACCTCATGTTTTCAAGCCGAAAACAATAGTAATTATTTTTATTCCGAAAATAAGCTACCTCTCAAATCCATACAACATACAATCATACAATCTTTATTAGTGAATAAACAAGTTTCTATTAATGCTTATTATTTTCCCACCGGGAAAATAACAAGCATTACTTAGAAACTTGTTTTTTTTCACTGTCACGATATTGTGCTATTATTTCCTAACTGAGGATTTATATACATACGTACGTACATTTGTATTTACTATTGTATATCAGTATTTTATTCTCATGCTAACTTGATTCCCTTAGCGAACGTATTTTAAAATTAAAAAATCAAATAAATAAATTAATAAAGTAAACATAAATAAATCAAAAAAATAAATTAATATAAATAAATAAATTAAATAAAAAAAATTAATTAAAATAATAAATTAAAAAGCGATAATTTAAAAAAGCAAAAATTTAAATAAATCTTAAGATAACTGGTGGTGATGATCACTGGTTACACTAAAATTTTATTTATAAAAACTTTTACTAACGCATAGCATAGCGGGAGTTTAGTTTTATTGGTTGCCAATATGCAGCCTGTCGATCACAATTATTCAACTATGATTAGCCAGTTAAAATCATTACACCAATATATAAATATATATAAAAAAAAAAAAAAAAAAATTGATCGTCTCTTGTAATCAAGGCTTTACCGGATTATTAAGTTAGAGTTTTGCTTAAACCGGTTTCATTGGAATAAACATTCCGTTAAGCTTAAACAATAAAAAAAAAAAAGACCGTCAAAAGAACTGCGCAATCAATGGTTCACAAGTTTACTGTTAGAAAATAATTTGCCATGGAAGTTTAGTGAAATCAAGATTTCACTATTATTCGAAGTTTATTACGATAAAGCCTGAACATTATTAAACAAAAAAAAAAATTCATATCATGGTCAGAAAATACGATGGTCCCTATTCTATAAAAAATTGTAACAGGACTTCAAATAAGTTTCGCAAAATAACACCTGTAGCATATGAGAAAGCACAAAAAAAAAAACTTTAGAGTATTATGGTAACCCAAAAATTAGACAAGAAGTTTGTTTAGTCACTATTGGATATTGTAGAACCTGACCGTCATTCAAAAAAAACCCTACTTAATGAAATAAAACAAAAAAATATTGAAAGTATACCAGTCTTAAATATCCTTGATGCACAGAATCTTTCTCCTAATAATAGTCTTACGTTCGTGAAACAAATCCAAATTCTTACAAAAGTTCTTTATAAACATCAGCATGAGCAATCCGGTTTTGTTGAACTTGATCCAACTCATTTTAAGTTAATGATAGAAAGCTATGATCATCGTCTGCATGGATTTTTTGATCAAATGGTTAAAGCATTAATTCCTGACGAAAGATCTACATACAACAAAGTAGAAGCAAAAAAATCGGTGGTTAGTATCTGTTATATGATGGCCAACATAAGAAACAAGTTTGCCAATAGCTTTGAATTGAAGGTTGGGTTGTACCTATCAGCGTCTGGATTGTTATCAGTAGGCATTAACACATTGCATAAATTGGGTGTCTCCACATGCTATGAAACAATTAACAATTATAAAAAAAAAATTGTAAAGAAGCATCCTCAAAACATTTGACAGTTTTTTACAAACAATGTAGGTTTATTTATTTATTTTTATTCATTTATTTTATTTTATTTTATTTTTTATTTTATTTTTTATTTTGGGCATTATTTTATGGCGACCCATTGCCATGGCGACTCCATGATCGACCAATCAAAATCGATTACGTGCATCACGTAACTTTAAAAAATTTATTAAAAAAAAAAAAAAAAAAAAAAAAAAACTACAACAATTATTACAAGCCCACCCACTTTAAATAAAGAACTAATTTAACAGCAAGAATCCAACATGAATATCCGGCACCACGAAATCTACCAGCAAAATTCAACAATGATTTCACCATCAAAGACGACAATATCAACGACGAAGTTTTACCACCAAAAGTGACGACACCAACTACGAAAACTCCAATACCAACTATAACGAATCCAATAGCTCCAACAACGACAGCACCAGCGACAATGACTCAGATATATAAAAAAGAGAAGCGCATTAGTAAGTATTAAAAAAAAAAAAAAGGAAACGAAAGAGAAAAAAAAACAGAAGAAAGAAAAAAAAAACGAAGGAAAAATAATGGACAAAACAGAAGAAACAAAGGAAAAAAGAACCGAAAGAGAAGCGAAAAAAAACAAAGTAAAAAAAAAGAAATGGAAGAAAAGCGAAAGAAACGAAACGGAAAAAAGAAACGAAGAGAAAAAATAATAAAGAAAACGAAATAAAAGATAAAAAAAACAAATAGAAGAAAAAACAAAAGGGGAAAGACAAGGCAAAGGGGAAAGACAAAACAACAGGGAAAGACAAGACAACGGGAAAAGAGAAAACAGTGGGAAAAAACAAGGCAAAGGGGAAAGACAAAACAACAGGGAAAGACAAGACAACGGGGAAAGAGAAAACAGCGGGAAAAGACAAGGCAAAGGGGAAAAGAATAATGAAAGAAGAAGAAAACGAAAGTGAAGAAAAGAAAAAAACGAATGAAATGAAGAAAGGGTAAAAGAAAGAAATGAAGAAACAAAAAAAAAAAAACAAAAAGAAAACAGAGTAAAAAAATGAAAGGAGAAAAAAAGTGAAGAATCGAAGAAAAATACCGAAAGTGGATAAAGAAAACGAAAGGAAAAAAAAGAAAAGAACGAAGGGATAAAGAACAAAGCAAGAAAACGGTAAATAAAAAAAACAAGAAAAGAAATTGGAAAAAAAAGAAACAAAAGGGAAACGAGAAAAAAAAATGAAAAGAAAAAAAAATATGGGGAAATAAAGAAGTGAAGAAGAAAAAAAACTAAAGAAAAAGATGAAAGGAAACCAAGAAAAAAAAAAATGAACGAAGAAAATAAAAAATAAAGAAACAAAATAAAAATACAAAAAAAAAAGCAAAATTAAAACGAAGAAAGGAAAACAAAAGCACAAAAAGCGAAAAACAAAGAAACGAAAAGGTAAGAAAAAAATGAAAAACGGAGAAAAGAACAAAAAAGTGAAGAAAAAATTAAAATCACATACCCGATCCTGAAATTAAGTGCAATGACAAAAGTACAAAAAGCGAAAGACAAAAGCACAAAAAGCGAAAAACAAAGAAAAGAAAAGGTAAGAAAAAAAATGAAAAACGGAGAAAAGAACAAAAAAGCGAAGAAAAAATTAAAATCACATACCTGATCTCAAAATTAAGCGCAACGACAAAAGCACAAAAAGTGAAAAACAAAGAAAAGAAAAGGTAAGAAAAAAAAATGAAGAAAAATAGAGAAAAGACAAAAAAGCGAAGAAAAAATTAAAATCACATACCCGATCCTGAAATTAAGCACAACAACAAAAAAAGCACAAAAAGCGAAAAATAAAGAAGAGAAAAGGTAAGAAAAAAAATGAAGAAAACCGGAGAAAAGACAAAAAAGCAAAAAAAAATTAAAATCACATACCCGATCCCGAAATTAAGCGCAACAACAAAAGCACAAAAGCGAAAAACAAAGAAAGAAAAAGTAAGAAAAAGACTAAAGAAAAATGGAGAAAAGACAAAAAAGCGAAAAAAAATTAAAATCACATACCTAATCCCGAAATTAAGCGCACAAAAAACAAACCAACGAAAGCACAAAAAGCGAAAAACAAAGAAAAGGTAAGAAAAAAATAAAAAAAAAAAACCAGAAAAAAGACAAAAAAGCGAAGAAAAATTAAAATCACATACCTGAGCCTGAAATTAAGCGCGAAACAACGAAAGCAAAAAAAAAATCGAAATAAACAAAAATAAATCAAAATAAACAGAATAATTCTTGTTTATATATAATCATCAATCTTTACTGTGATTAGCCGATTACGGGGTCGCCATGGCGATAGGTCGCCATCTATAATTTTCTATAAAATAATAAGATTAATAAAAGTACAGATTAAAATGAAATCTGATCAAACCGAAATTTTTTTGTTTTTTAAAAAAATTTAAAATTTTTTGAATAATATTTTTGGAGTTCTTTTTAGCATTAGAAATAGGGTTTAGAGTTAGGTTTATTAATAAAAGAGTATATGTAGATTTTATAGGCTCTAAAGATAGGTATGAGAAGTTCTCAGTTTTATTTTGATCAGATTTTATTTTAATCTGTAACAATAAATAAATTAATTTATTAAAAAAAGTTAAAAAAAACAAAAATAAATCATTCAACTTTTTTCAACAATCACTTAAACCAAGACCGCACCAAAACAGTTTGAAGATTCAAAGTTCTAAAAAGTCTAAAGATATCTGAGGTTCTTTATTAGTACTGTTATCGACAAAGACTTATATATGAAATATTGAAGAGCAGATATATATAGTTGGTTTGTGCTTTAGGTCAAGCTTTTCTTCTTGTTGAACTCCTTCACATATTCAGCATTCAAGCCAAAAGAGTTATTTTGGTAACAGTAATGATGAAAAACTTCCAACTCAAGTATTAAAGCCTTTTAGTTTTATGAAGAACAACTGTAAATACTTTTATTGTCTTAAGCTTTTGCAAATACAGTATTTTTTCTTTCAATACTTTTGGCTATAATTTTTGACAAAAAGTAGAGAATTCAGCAAACCTCTCTAAAAAATTAGCAATATTTACTACTTCTATATCGGAAAACTTTATATAATAATAAACAACACATATAAAATAGACAGTGCTAGAAATTTAGTAACTAGATGAATGTTCAGAAGAATACCTTATATGTTGTGTTGTTGAAGATATACAAACATGTGATATTGTCAATAGACAGGTCATGTGGAGGTTCTAAAATTCTTATACTTGTAGATAAAGATATGAATTTAACTAAAAGAGTAAAGCAAAGTGAAAAGAGATATACAGGCATTCTCTAGTTATCTGTATATAATTTTTAATCTCTTGCACAAGTTATAGTGCATTTTATTTTAGTTTTAAATTTCTTGTCAAAACTCTTGCACTTAATAGTAGATCATTATTTTGTATGATTAGAAGTTTTTACCTAATTAGCAAGTTTTTTTTCTTTAGTGATAGTTTCTTTTAGGTTTTAGTTTAGATTTTTATTCCTTAGTATTAGTATATGTTTTCATTGATATATCAGTTTTTATTATATACACCTTTTTTCATTCTCTATTATCTTTTTTTTCTTTTTTCTTTTTTTACAAGAAAATGTCATCAGTTTAGCAGCATTCTATTGTAGGTCAAGAATATTGATGGGGTGGCACAACAGCCAGTTAAGAAATCCAGAGAAAATAAGTCTGAAGTAAATAACAGATCTCTGGAGAAGGCTAATCGTTCACTAGACAGGTCGCATTTAGGCAAAACACAGCGATTTAATAATTTAATCTAACTGCAAGTGGGTGTTACAGCACCTGTGAGATATATTGTTAATAAATTTATTTTTTGATTAGAACATTATAAATTTAAATTTCTTTATATATAAGAATAAAAGTCTGTTCTTATAATAAAATAAACAGGATTGTTAAAAAAAAAAAAGTAAAAAAAATAAAAAGTTTAAAAATAAAAAATAAAATAAATTGCAGAAAATAAATAATATTATCCTACAGCTTTTAGTAGTTTAATATAAAATAGCTTATTAATGAACTACAACAAATATAGTAGCAGTAATTAAATTAAAGCAAAAAAATTCAGGTTTACAACTGGTCATATGCAGGGTGTACATTATTTAGAGATATACATAGCACTATTTTGAAATTATATATACTATTTTAAAGAGATATAATTTTCTAAATAACACTTATAGGCATTATTATATGAAAATACAATATATATAGTTAATATTGTAAATATATATTGTTTAATAACATATATTAGAACTCAAGATATATATAAATAAATCAGATTTGAGTTTGCTTATTTTTGATCTTTATTTAATAATTTTTATAAAAACTTAAAGCAGTGTTATTTATTATCACAAATTAAAACGAAATCTGATCAAAACAAAATTTTTCTGTTTTTTAAAGAAATTTTAAAATTTTTTGAGACATTTTTTGAGGTTCTTTTTAGCATTAAGAGTAGAGTTTAGGGTTAGATTTATTAATAAATAAGTATATATGGGTTTTATAGGCTCTAAAAGTAGATATGAAAGGTCACCAGTTTCATTTTGATCAGATTTCATTTTAATCTGCAACATTTATTATCTAATTATTTTTTATCAAAAGCTTATCCCTCTTCTCTTTTTTTAATATATAAAAAATTGAATTCTTATATATAATTTTAACAATTTTTATTACTTTTTTTCTTTAAAAAATTATACAATTTTTATTACATATCTTATTCTCTATATATATTTCAAAGTTTTTATATACTTTTTAAGTATATAAAAAATTTTAGATTTAGAAAGTGATATATACTTATTAGTAAATAAACACTCTTTTTGAAAAATATTAACTATTTTAAAATTTTCAAAGACAATCATTTGATAATTTTAAATTTTAATAGAATCAATAATATAAATTTATAAATACAGTAAGACTTTTCTAAGTATATACTCTATAAGTGTATATATTATATAAATTTTTTTTAAATACTGTATATAGTATAACTTAGTTTTAACTTATAAAAGTATTATATACTTTGCTTTCTATAAATATATACTCTTTTTAAATATATATTTTGCTTTTTTGATTATAGTCTCAAGAGGAAAGTATTTAAAAAGGTTTTACTGTATTATATTTTTTATATATTCCTTGTATATTTGTATATATTTCTTGTATAATTATATATTAGAAATGATGCTGAAACAAGATAATGAGAAATGTGGGGTCTTAATTTAAAAATATAAACCCTACTGAAATTCACCTATACTTTTTTATTATAAACATTAGCCCTAAACTCTAACTTAACTACAAAAAAAAAGCTAAAAAAACATCTTCAAAAATTTTAAAATTTCATATTAAAATAAGTTAATATTTTAGTATCATCTTGTTTCAGTATTATCTCTAACATTATATAAATATATATAATTAAGTCTGATTATATAAAATATATACAAGGGTATAGCGACTTAGTGAAGTTGGTAAGTTGTCGCACCCCCAAGCGGCAGAACAAGAGTTCGAATCCCACTAGTGACGAAATTTAGAATTTATAGAATGTGTTACAGTATACTGTATAACATCCTGAGGGGTAGTAGCATCTGTAACCTTAGTCATACCAGCTTGTTCTGGAAGGTTGTGTAATGCATGAATTATGTAGCTATATAAATCTACAGCTCAGGCTCACAGCATATGGAAGCCCACTTGGTAAGTCCCAAGTAGAGAGATAGTACAGATCTTCGATGGTACTATGTAAAAGATGATTATCAGCAATCGGACACCAACAGTAAACTGGACAAGGACCAGGTGTTCGGCAAGATACTAATACCAACTAGGCCGTGAATATACAGAGATGTGCTCTGTATAAACAAGGAAAAAGGATTTAATCAAAATACTAAGGAGACGCCTACAAGTCCCTCACTGGGCTATCTGGATTGGGAGTTTGGGATACTGTTGGTGAAGGAAAGTCGGTGATAGTTTGTAAAGTATATACTGAGGTTTGGGTGAACTCTGCAAGGGCAGAAGTAGGTAACGGTAGCGGCTTCAGCTTGCAAATACTTGTCCTCAGACTTGATATAAGTTACCAATAGATAACAACGCCTCGAGGATAAATTAGTCCTAAAGGTATCGGAAAAGCATCTGGGACTTCTTACGACAGGTAATTGTGGTGGAGATGTACTGGTGATACAAGCTGAGTTTGCATGTAAATGTACTGAGGTTCTATAAGCGAGCCCCTTACTTATAAACTTGAATAAAAACCATAGTCCCAAAGAGGCTAGTTATAAAATTAAAAAAAAATAAAAAATAAAAATATATACAAATATACAAGTAGTATATAAAAATATAATATTTATAAATTTATATTATTAATTATATTAAATTTCAAAATTATTAAATAGGAGTTATAATAAAGCAGTATAATTAGTAAGTTGGCTATTATATAGAAGCAAGTTGTTGTCTTAGATAATAAAACTAAAGTTTAATTTCTTCTAGATGAAAAAAGTTCAAATTTTTATCTTATATTATAGTATACAGTTCTTTATTGATTAGTTAAATTAAGACATCTATAACTTTGATTATATTAGCAAAACTGTAAGCTCAAAGCATTTATATAATATTATATAAAATATAAAAGAATACAAACCAATACTAAAGTTAGTGCAAACTTATGATAAACTATTGAGTATATAAATCAAAAGATTAAAAGAATAAAAGCTTATTCAAAATTTTAAATAGAAAAGTAGTTTAAATCTTTGACAAAACTATTATAAAAGCTAAACCTATAAAACAAATTATATAAGGTAAATAAATTAAATAACAAAAACTAAAAACTAATATATTAACTAAACTACTAAATTTATTATTATTAGAAAAAAATATATAGTTCAGTACAATATAACAAAAACAAGTTATAGTTCTTTTAGATTATCTAGATTAAAAACTTAAAAGACTTATAAATAAGATATTAAAGTACTAGAAATATGCTATAAGGTAAGAACTAAAATTTAAAAAAATCTTATAAGGATTTAAAAGCTAAAAGTAAAAGATAGTGAAGACTATTTATTAATTAATAAAAATACTTTAGTATAAAAATATCTAGTTAAAGAATATAGCAACTTAGTAAAGTTAGTTAAGTTGGCACACTCCAAATAGCAGAACAAAAGTTTAAATTCTACTGATAACAAAATTCGAATTTACAAAATATATTACGGCAAACTGTATAATATATCAATCAAGTCAGCATCTGTAATCTTGATTACACTAGCTTATATTGAGAGGTTGTGAAATGATAGTATAATGCATAAATTATACAAATCCTGAGTGAAGCAGTCAAATAAATTCAAGAAATCAGAGAATACAGAAGCCTGCTTAAAAGTTCTAAGTAAAGATGTAGCACAGATTTTGATAGTACTATATAAAGGATTATCATCTAAAGAACCAGATACTAAAAGCAAACTGAATAAGAACTAAGTGTTTAACAAAAGCACTATATCAACCAGGCCACCAGACATACCAGAGGAAAAGAATTCATTTAGAATATTAGAGAATGTCTATTGGTTCCTTCTAAGCCATCTGAATTAGAAGTTTGAAGCACTTATAGTTAATATTGAAGTACTGTTGATAGTCTATAAAGTGGGTGCTGGGGTTTAAATGAACTTTGCAAAAGCAAAAAATAAGTAATGATAGTAAAATTAAAATATCACAAATATTTGGCTGTAGCTTAGATGTAAGTTACTGAAAATCTAGATGATACATATGTGAAATATAAACTACTCTAGTAGGTTTATAACAAGAACAAAAAACTCTCCTATATAGAAGTGTATGTCTGCTTTAAAGTTCTAAGAGACTTAATAGCAATTTCTTTTTGCAGAGAATATCTGACAGCACTAAGTTGATCAAAAAGTTTAAATAGAGAATTCACAAGCAGATTTTAGACATGGTAATTGGTGAATAACTATAAATAGTAATAGATATAGCAGAGCCCTTAAATAGATAATAATTAAAGTTGTATATATAGCTAATTATATTCTCGTTAATATAACAAAGTTAGTGGTAACTTATGTAGTTGTTCTGGCATTTAAACCAAAATTTAATAAAATGTATCAGATCCCAAAGTAGTCACCTTAACATTAAAAAAATATATATATATTTGATTAAAAATAATTAGTAGATATTGTTATACTATTAGTTTAGGCCACAAATAAACTAGTCTGAGTTTCTTTTCTTATTATCTTAGAATATGGAGTTTAAATGTATTCTTTTTATTGTAAGAAAATTGAATTAAATTTCAATAAAAATAGAGACATGGTCTCACTATTAATATTCAAAAAAAAAAAGATATTTTTACACTAGTAGTTTTAATGTTATACAAATTAGTTATAGAATATTATATTTTATCTGGCAAACACTTATGATCATAGATTTATTTCTTTTTATTATTTTTTGCGATGTTATATTGTAATCATATTTATTTGAATTAAAATTTAGTTAGCAAATCATGACTTGAGAATCATGATCATGAATTGCCAGATAGCACAAATATTGAGTCATGTATTGATGAATATCATAAAATTTATCTAATTGTGTAAATAATTAACTGACATATGCTGCTACGCAGCACTATCAGTCAATTATTTGCTTAATTAGACAAATTTTGCGATATTCATTGATGCATGATCAATATTATATACATAATTTGGATTTTATCTTTTATATTTTATAGTAATTAAAATTATATTATTAGATATAGTCTGGTGCAAAAATGTTGATACACAACAACTAAAAATTTATACTTTTTATATATAAAAGTTTTTATATTTAAACTATTTAATTATGATTTTATATACTAAACAAAGTAGGTTTTGGGCTATATTTTTTATTACTTTTTGTAAACATTTTACCAAGTAATAATTTTTTAAAAAAAATCTATTTTTTTCAAAAAAAAGTATTCTTTTTAGAAAAAAATTATTTTTACTATTAATATACAACTTGAAAAGTTTATATTAATTAAATGTATTGTCATTTATATATTGAATATATATTTAAAATTTTAGCTTAATAGGATCAATAGTTGTTGAAATATAAATTTTTAAAATTTAATACTATTTTATTATAGAGCATTTCTATTTGTACACGGTGTGTATGTACATAGTTAATATAGAGAGCCAATCAGATTGCACGATCAAGTGTAACGTAAAATTATTGCTTTCTTCAAAATATTACTGATATCTCAAAATTTCGCTTATGAAACCACCTTTTGAATTCTAACAAAAAAAATTCCTTGCGAAATTTTGATATATGCTATAATTTACCCAAATCCTAAATGCTTCCTTACTCTAACCCGAAGTAATGGCTTAATTTTTCGGTTACAAAAGTTGTTTTGATTAGCATGTTACACAGATTTACAAATCAATACCCGTGTTCAAACACACCGTGTACAAATAGTAATTTTCTTTATTATATAATACAAAAATTGTACAAAATTTATTATAGAAATTTTATTAAATATAGTAAATTAGTTTTTAACTTTAAAAATTCATATTTCAACAACTACTAATCCAATTAAGCTAAAATTTAAACTGTATATTCAGCATATATATGGCAATACACTTGCTTAGTATAGACCTCTAAAAGTGCATATTGGTAGCGAAAATAATTTTTTCTAAAAAAAATGCTTTTTTTGACAAAAAGTTGATTTTTTTAAAAAAATCATTATTTAGTAAAATGTTTATAAAAGCATAATAAAAAATATATTAAAAGATAGTTCAAAACCTACTTTATTTTGTATAAAAAATTATAATTAAATAGTTTAAATATAAAAACTTTTATATATAGAATATTTAACT